CCTTTTCCATCACAACTTTCATTTAACTGGCCTCAAATGGAGAAGGCTCCAGATGGATCTTTTCCTAGCCTGTGACACTTTGAGATATGCCACATTGAATGCCCGTCATCACAGCCAACCAAAGAAAGCAATGGCCCACTACATGCAAGGGATGGGAACTGTAGTCCAAGGCATCCAGGGGACACAAGCTTGGAAAAAGCTGAGTCTACCAGCCTGGTGACTGCATTGATTCCTCAAGAGGGCTGGTTGTTCTTCAGAAGTAGAGGTGATATAGTCCTTCTGAAAGGGCAGCTCTTTTCTTCCTACATCTTAGGGTTGGTTTGCACAAGCAAATAAGGAGTTTGCAGAACAGGTCCCATCCAACACTCCTCTCTTTTATTTATTCATTGGGAAGAGTTGTATGCAACTAACCCAGAGATCAGAAGTGAAAAGGTGGCTCACCCGTCCCCCTGATGTAGTACAGCCAGTCCTCGACTTACGACCACAATGGAAGTTTATGTGAGACATTTGTTAAATGAGTTTTGCCCCATTTTACAACCTTTCTTGCCTCGGTTGTTAAATGAATCACTGCAGTTGATAAGTTAGCAGCCCTGTTGTTAAGTGAATCTGGCTTCTACATTGATGTTGTTTATCAGAAGGTCGCAAAAGGGGATCACATTGGGATAAAGCAACGGTCATAAGTATGAACCAGTTGCCAAGCATCTGAATTTTGATCACATGACTATGGGGATGCTGCAAAGATAACTGTGAAAAACAGTCATAAGTCACTTTTTTCAGTGCTATTGTAACTTTGAATGGTCACTAAATGAACTGTTGTAAGTCGAGAACTACTTGTACGTTCATTATTGTTATTGGTACAAGGAAGTTTAAAAGATGCCCATTTCCTCAAATTTTAAAGGCCATTGTCTATTTTACATCCACTGTGAAATCCCACCTTTTCATCCTGCTACAAGCCTGAAAATCTCTGTTTAGATTTGAGTTAAAAATGGAAAGCTTAAATACCACCCCGCCATTAAAATTCACATTATTTCAAAATACTCCTGGTGAAAATTGCTGGTTTAACCAACCATCATGCATTACTCCCATAGCTGTGGCAATGAAGCTTCAAGGCCCTAGTGATGTGTGATCCAGCCCTAGAAAAATAAGCCAAGACATCCAACTTCCATACTTAGATACCAGCAGGATTGGATTAATCACATTTATAAATACTTAGCTTCCCCAATGCCTCTCAGCCATCAGCTCTTTCATTTTGTTTCCCTTGGTAGCTGAACTCCTTTTTTTTTTTTTACCATGGTTGCAGTAAAAAAATATTGATTTAGTCTGGTTAACAAGATTTTGGTTTGATTTGGTGGGCTTTTTGTTTTTATCCTTACTCAGGATAGGCCTTAAAATTTCATCTAAAAATGAATATTAGTTATTTGTATTAATGATTTATAGCTAATATTCTCATTTTTTTCCTAGAAGGAATTTAAAGGAATGTGCTTCTGAGCAATGCTAGTTGGATACTGATTTTAAGTTCTTAGCTAATTTCTTTGGAAATAAGTAGACTCCGTTTTGAATAAAAGTGTATAGGAGTGCAGTAATAAATTGCTAGGCTATTTCTAAATATAGAATAGCTTTATATGGGTAAAAAAAATTCTGTTTCCTAATTCTTATTTAATCTCTTACATCAGATATTCTAATCCTAGAAATGCTGGTCTGTGACTGTAATATAAATTATCATTATTCCAGTCCTAGAAAGAAAACAGAACTTTAACCATTTCTAGCTAAATAATTTTGCTAAGAATTGTCATCACCTCAAGCATCCAACAGGAAGTTAGGAATCTTATTTTTATATTGCAAATGCTCACAATTGTCAGCTCCTCACACCTACAAATGGCTTTTAAGATTTGGAGATTGTATCAGAAAGTTATTGTATCTCCCATAATTTGAAGAGGTCACCTCCTGTCTGTTGAATCTCAAGCTAAATGGGGCTGGGCCTATAGGTTAGAGAAATAAAAGAAAAAAGAAATCCTGGAAGCAGATAATTGTAAACGATGTCCTTATTGTAAATAGATACAGTAGAAGATAGATAGATAGATAGATAGATAGATAGATAGATAGATAGATAGACAGACAGACTATAAGCATATATTCATGTCATATGTCACCATGTTACCATGTACAGTCCCTAGTTATCTCATATAAAGCTAAGTAAGATCAAAACCTATCAATAGTTAATGCTGGATGGTAGACTAGGAAGAAGAAGAAGAAACAGTAATAACAAACTACTTGGTGATTACTTCCACACTCAAAAGGTACACAAAATGTACCTTTGTTTACCATTAAAGCGTCAGTAGTTTCCCTCGCCATTAAGGAATGCTTCTGAAGTAATGCTTCTTCTTCCAAGAAGAAAAAAGCATGTGATTGTGTGGCAAAATCAGAAAATGCTAATAGACCCAGGTTTCAAAGCCAGATTGTTACTAACCATGCTTGAACTGAACCATGCAGTTCAAGGAAGGATCTGGCAGCTGCATATTTCTGTTTTATGTTAATAAAATATCAGCAACCCATCTAGTCTAGAGAGTAACTCTCTATCTGAGTTTTGGAATAACTGTTGTGGAAAATTTAGAAGCACAGAGCAAAACCCACATGAGGATTTTAAAAAATCATGTTTATTGCATTCATTACATTACATTACATTACATTACATTACATTACATTACAAGAAAGAAAGAAAGACCCTGAACAATGGGTTTGTCGAATGGTGGAATGCATCCAATGATAAAAACTCTCTGGGAAGCTTTTAAAAAGATGCTTCCACAGAAAGCTGTGTGTTGCACTGCTTTTAGTTCTGGAATGAATTTGCTCGCCTCTCCCTACCCTCCTCTTAGTCATCTTGTATCTTTTTTGCCAGCTTTTCATTGTGAAATGACTGGAGTATCTAATTTCATGTTAATTGTAATCTATGTCCTGATGTTATTTAAAATCTTTTTAAATGATTGTTAGCTGCCTTCAAAATTTGCCATAATAGTAAGACAGGATGTAAATTAAACTGTTAAATAGCAAATGATATTTGCTATAATTCCTTGTGTGAAATTGTTAATGCGTTTTGTAAAATGTTGGGTACAATTTCAGGACACCAACAATAAAAATGATAAACGAATGGAATAATCCTATTCAAAATGTAGGGTAGAAATTGGAATCATCAAATTAAATCCTAGTTAGATGTTTAATCATCATAGTCTGTTGGAACGTAGCACTGCCTTAATCCTATAATGCCCACTGAAATTAGAATAAATTAATTTAGTGCAGTTCAGCAGAAATCACGTGCTTTGCATTCAGAAAGTCTCAGGTACAAATCTCAGCATTGATGGGAAAAGTGTTTGTTATCTGTGGATTTTCAGACTGAGTCAGAGGTTGCCCAGGGGTCTTACTGTGTTAACACAGCTGCAGTGCAATACACTATTGTGTGCAATAAAAGTGCACTGTGCCGAAGTTAGTGTAATATGTGAGTGTGCTGAATGAAAATCAATTCTTTAATTCCCATATTAAAATAATCTGGAAGCTATAATGGGGAAGCCTGATTTTGGGAATCCAAAGGGAGAGTAGAAGTTTACACATTCAAACATATATATTGGCAGTTGACTAGGGTATCCTTTGTGCACCTTTTTATTGTGTGTCAGGTGTACTCATTTGTGGCCTGGGAGGCCTCTGCTCACAGTCACTCATGCCCTCATGACCTCCGATTTAGATTACTGCAATGCACTCTACATGGGGTTTCCCTTGAAGAGTATTTGGAAGCTTCAGCTGGTGCAGAATAGTACAGGTAGTAAATGTTATTCAACACATGTAACACCACTGCTTCATGAGTTGCGTTGGTTGCCAGTGTGTTTCTGGGAGCAATTTAAATGCTGGTTGTCACCTTTAGAGCCCTTCGTGGCTTGGGACTGAGTTACCTGAGATACTATCTTCTCCAGGGTTTCTATTCATCCAGTCTGGTCCACTAGGACGGACATTCTTGGATCCTATCAGCCAAGGAATGTCAGCTGCCAAGTAACAGGAGATGTGCCTTTCCTTCTATTGCTCCTTCCCATCGGAACATCCTTCCTCCTGAGATTAATTGGTTGTGACCTTGATGGCTATTCATAAGACCTGATTATGTGTCCAGGCCTGGGACCCTGAATATATTAATGACTTTGTTTCCTGGTTTACATTTTTTTGTACTCTGTTTGTATTTGGTTTAAATTGATTGTTCACTGTCTAGAGCAGGGGTGTCAAACTCAAAGCCTGGGGGCTGGATTTGGCCTGCGGGGTGGTTAGATCTGGCCCCTCGGGGCCGCCCTGGAAACAGCGAAGGACTGGCCTGCAGTGCCTCTGCCAGGGAAAACGGAGCTTGGGAAGGCTGTGTACGACCCTCCCAAGCTCCATTTTTGCTGGCAGAGGGTTGCAGGAGGCTGTCACAGCCAAAAACAGAGGTTGGAAACCTGTTTTTGCTGGCAGAGCACTTGGGCCTCCACAGGCATCCCTGATACAAGTGATGTCAAGCAGGACATGCCCACCCTGGCCATACCCACCCCACGCCCCCAAGGCCAAACACAACCCTGATGTGACCCTCAATGAAATCGAGTTTGACACCCCTGGTCTAGAGTCACTTGAGATGGCAGCCATAGACATGCAATAGACACCGTAAGAGGAGACCCCTGTTAGCAAAGTAAGGTAGCAAAAGCTCACAACAACTTTTAATAGAACTTGTATGTCAGAACAACAAACTAACAAGCTCCTCCTCCTGAGCATTTTGCACCCATACTGATAGTACAAATGGAGATGGGTTCTAGAATTTGTTGCTTTCACCAGTAAAAGTGTGCTTATATCTGCAGAACATATTGTTCTGGCTGTCAAGCTCGATAAGCTGGACTTGCAACAGAGTGTTGGACTCTATTTGGTTCTTGTGTTCATTGGGGAGTGGGGGGGCAGAGGGGGAGTGGGAGCTTCTCTAACCCCCTCCCTTGGCTTTACAGGCAGTGGGCAAATCCAGCTGTGGCAATTCCTCCTGGAGCTGCTTTCGGACCGGGCCAACCTCAACTGCATTGCCTGGGAAGGCACCAATGGCGAATTCAAACTGCTCGATCCCGATGAGGTGGCCAGGCGCTGGGGCGAACGCAAGAGCAAACCTAACATGAACTATGACAAGTTGAGCAGGGCCCTGCGCTACTATTACGACAAAAACATCATGACCAAGGTTCACGGCAAGCGCTATGCCTACAAGTTTGACTTCCAAGGCTTGGCCCAGGTCTGCCAGCCAGCCACACCTGACCACACCTTGTACAAATTCCAGGCACCCCTTCCCTTCTCTGGCATCTCCAAACTCAACATCATGGCTTCAGGAGTGACCCCAACCAGTTTCTCCTACTGGCCAGGCTCTGCCCCTGCCCTGTATCCCAGCCATGGCTTGCAGGCTTCAACACCCTTCAGCACCATGGCAACATCTCATATCAACAATATGAACAGCCATTACCACTAGACTTCTTCTGGTTGCATGGGGTATGGTGAGGAGCTGGGAGAATAAATTTTGACCTCTAAATTTCAGCTTAAGATATTTCCAGTGCAGAAAAAAAAAAAGAATATTTATTAGCTTCACCCATCGTGTTAAAACACAAGGTGGTTTTTGCCTGGTTTTGGTTTCATGTAATACATGAAATCAGCTATTTATGGTTTGTGGCATAGCACAATGTGTCAATCCAGCCACTGCAACCTATTCAATAACAACAGTGAAACAGACCAGGGGTTAGGCAGATGGCTGAATCTAGCTATTTTGTAAAGTGGAAAGAGAAATTTTATTGAGACAGTCTGGATCTCAGCACAGTAGCTGAATCCATCCAGAGCCATTTTGGACTGGATTCTCACCCCAATGAATCCATATTTTCCAGGGAACATTTAAGTAATTTCCCTATTTTTTCATTTTAAAAATATCCACAATATATTGTCTGAAACTGTCTTGTAGTTGGAACTTTTGGAACTGTGAAAATTTGTACAGCCCCTTCTTCCCCCTGCAAAGTTACACACATGTAATCACACATCTTAAGAGACTGATGAAGAAGCATCAGTACCAGCAAGATACTTTACTCTGAGGCAAGTTGGTGACAGTGATATCCATTTAGCCCGAATATCTCTGGGTAAAATGGGCAAAGCTATCTCTGACCATTCTATTATAGTCCACATAGATCATACACAATCTGTCAAATATATGCCACCACTTGGCTTTCAATTGAATCAGAGATCTACTAAATATTAATCTGGAGGTCAATGCCTTACAAAATTCAAATGACATGAATGTTTTTGATTTTCTCAACCCAGCTCAATTTCTAAACCTAACATGAACTAAGGCTTCTTTAGGGCCTGTGATTGTATAGAATGGAAGAATATGCCTAGACTTACATGGTTATAATTAGAATGATCTACCTTCCTGCTCAACAGACAAACAAATGCTGCCCTTTTAAACAAGGTGCTTTCCCATGTGGGAACTTCATAAGAGTTTAATAAAAAATAAATCCTACATTGGCAAGAATATATTATAAACATCTTGCCTTTGTTTTTGTTCTAAGTGAATCTCAGTCAGAAATTTGAAAGGATTAGAAAGCTTCAAGTATGAAAAGGTTGGTGGTTGACAATTTTCTATCAGGTCCCAAAAAGTCAAATTAAGGCTCCCTGTTCTTCACACATTTATTTATTTTTAATAGACCCCTTTCCTTGGACATTATTATTCAAATTGTGATATTGTGGTTTCTTTTTGCCCTCTGGTTTTGGATTATGACCTTCCCCTTCATAACACATCTCCATTGAGTCCATTCTTAGGTTGATGGGCATCCACACTGTTTCCCTTGATGTAAGATAAAAACACTGTTCCAGGTTTCTGTGTGTGTATATGTGTTGGAAGGTTGAGGAGAAATGACATTAAAAGATCTACTCTGAATTATTTGAAGATTAAATTGCAATCATAGCTATGAATTTACACAGTACCTGTCATTCCTTTTTAAAAAAAAACAAAAAAACCTTCAATTCAAAAAAGGCAGAACATTCAAAAACTCAGTTCAAAAAAGGCAGTGATTTTTGATAAATAACACCATGTGATATTAAATACAGGTCCGGGGAATTCTCTATGTGAATGCCTGCCCCACAGGGCTCAATAGTACTGGATAGAAGCCCCCCTCCCATGAATGAAATTACATTGATTTTTACTTTGGTTTTGCTTAAACCTACAGTGCCACCTGCAGGAGCAGGACAGAGAAGCAGCTGGGAAAACCCCTTCAAAGGGCTACTTCCTTACTTATTATTATTATTATTTAAATTTCTATACCGCCCTTCTCCAAAAAAATTCTGCCTTGGTCCTTCCCTTTGAGGTCATAAGGAGAGCGGTAGATCAGAGTGAAATCCAGCAGGTTCTGACAGGTTCTGGAGAACCAGTAGCTGAAATTTTGAGCAGTTCGGAGAATCGGCAACGGAAATTTTGAGTAATTCAGAGAACCGACAAATACCACCTCTGACTGGCCCCAGAGTGGGGTGGGAATGGAGATTTTGCAGTATCCTTCCCCTGCCATGCCCACCATGCCACGTCCACAGAACCGGTAGTAAAAAAATTTGGATTTCACCACTGGGGCAGATGCTAAGAGATTGAAGCAAGGGGCCTCTTGCTTTTTATATCTGGCCAGGAAATGGGCTGAAAGCAGAAAGAAAAGTAGGCTTGGGAGCCTTTGGGAATTAACATTGGCCCTTGTTGATCATTAGAAAATACTGATGCTGGCTTCCAAAGCACATTGTAGAGGCTTCCGTCTTTTTCACAGCTGAAATGGTTCCCTCAACAGAATCTCTTAATTGCATGACCAATTAGGTTATATTCTTGAGCACTTTTCTCATTGCCATTTCCAAGTTAGAGATCGAAGGGTTTTCAGCTCAGGCTTTGTGCAAAGTCAAGGGTACCTTTCAAGGGTGCCAAAATCTGACTTCGGTCTCCATTCCCAAGAAGTAATTTCCTTCTGAAGTCCCAGAATAAGAAGCCCTGCTTTCAAAGAAGATGGTGTCCCTAGAAGAGTGATGACTAACCTTTTTGCTGTCACATGCCAAAAGCGGGGGGAGACTGGGGGATTGCGTGTGTGTGTGCCCACACCCATAATTCAATGCGACCTGCCCCACCCTGCGCATGTACACGTGACCCTCCCTCGCTCCCCCGCTTTTGGCCCTTGATGGCACAGTGGACCCGGTAGGACCATTTTTTGATCTCCCCAGGCTCCCGAGGCTTTCTAGGAGCCTGGGGAGGGCAAAAACAGCCTTCCCCATCTCACTGGAGGCCCTCTGGAGGCCAGAAACAGCCTGTTTCCCAACTTCCGATGGGTCCGGAAGGCCCGAAAATCAGCTGGCCGGCTTGTGCATGCACGCTGGAGCTGAGCTAGGGCAACGCTCGCGTGCCCACAGATATGGCTCCGCGTGCCACCTGTGGCACGCGTGCCATAGGTTCACCATCACGGCCCTGGAACCTTAATGGTTAAGTTAGATTAAAAAAGGGCATTCCTGAAGGTGTAGCTTGCCATCTTCATCTACATACCTATCCAAGGCATAGGATAGTATGTCTCCTTTGTAAATAATCAAGTGGCAAAAGGAATTTCATGACCCTTTGAATGAGTCATGTTTCATACCATATGGTGGGATTCATCTACTTCTTGTCCAGTCTGGCTTGGACCCATTGGGGCCTTTTCCTGTTTGGATCCCTTGCAACTTGTCTGACCCTTCCTCACTGTTTTTGTTTGTCCATCATCTCCTCTATAGGATCCCCTGACACAAGTCTCCAGTGATGGTGCCTTGAATTTACCATGATATTCTCTCTTCATTTATCATTGATTCCAATGTACTTAATGACTTCCCCAGAGGATACTTTTCCACAGTCACACTGGTGATTAGGAACTGGAACCTCTTTCCTGTCTGGCAATCCCTGGAAAGCGATGCAAAAGTCCATCCCCCTCAGAATTTTGGGGTTCAAAACTGGCAAGCAGTCTGGATCATTTTCCATGTTTTCATACGGGTTCCAGTTGCACTAAACCAGAGGGCATTCTTCTGGGGAAGCAATGTTGGGTTTTTAAATGCATGCTTGGAAGCAAGAACAACAATTAAACAGTGTGCTTCACATGCTCCTTCTTTACCTTCCGCTCACCAACACCTTAAACCGCTGCTCTTCTATTTTTAAATGTTTGTACTTGGGTTCAGAATGGCTTGCGTATTGCCGAACGCTTTGATTGTCCAGCAGGGAGCAGTAGTGCCACATCAGTACCCTCCTCCCTTTCTCCCCAAGATACTATTAAATTATGACAAATTCCAGATAGTAGCATCTCTACGTAATCTAAAAAAGAAAAAGTTAAAGAATGTGGATCTAGTGAATAAAAATAAAGCAAGTGGATCATCAGGAAAGAAAACCATTTAAAGATTAAAATGATCCAATTGGAGATAGTGGGAGAAGAACCTTGAGGAAGAGGGAAGAATGCAATTTGAGAAAGCACCTCAGAGTTGAACCTTCCTGGTTCTCTTTGGGATAAAGCAGGGATGAAATCCAGCAGCTTCTGACAGGTTCTGGAGAACCAGTAGCGGAAATTTTCAGTAGTTCGGAGAACCGGCAAATGCCACCTCTGGCTGGCCCCAGAATAGGAAGGGAATGGGGATTTTGCAGTATCTTTCCCCTGGAGTGGGGTGGGAATGGGGATTTTGCAGTATCCTTCCCCTGGAGTGGGAAGGGAATGGGGATTTTGCAATATCCTTCCCCCAGGAGTTGGGAGGGAATGGGGATTTTGCAGTATCCTTCCCCTGGAATGGGGTGGGAATGGGGATTTAGCAGTATCCTTCCCCTGGAGTGTGGAAGGAATGGGGATTTTGCAATATCCTTCCCCCAGGAGTGGGGAGGGAATGGGGATTTTGCAGTATCCTTCCCCTGCCATGCCCACTAAGCCACACCACGCCCACCAAACCACACCTGCAGAACCCGTAGTAAAAAAATTTAGATTTCACTATTGGGATAAAGAGATGGAGAGTTGTAAGATTCTGATATTGTAACCCTATAATAAAAGTAGTTTTAGTATTCATGATGTTGATATTCAACTCTGGTCTAGAGCTGAGATCAGTCTTATAAGTTTCAATCTGCCTCCTCTCTCCCTGCCTTTATCTTAAAGAGAACAATGGATGGTCAAGTCAGATGTTTTCTCAAATAGAAATCAATCAATCAAATAAATTCTGTTCTTCCTCTTCCTCCAGGTTATTCTTATAAATCATTGCAGTTTGATTCCGTGTACCTACATATGGATGGTTGCTACAATACCAGTCAAAGATGATTTCCAGCTTTTGTCCTAAATGATTTTTTTTTCTTGTTGGTGTGTGTTGAATCAGAATTAGAAATAGAAGATTATATTCTAGGAGTGCCCCCATTCTCTGAGTTCCCGACAAAATTCTGTTTTAAGTAGAGCATTACCCTATAAAAGTTTTGTCTGGTTAGGAAAAAAACCTGTATTGCCTTTTTCTGACATACCATGAGGACTAAAAGTAGTCCTGTACATATAAAATCCAGTTACCTCACAAATTAATACAACTCTTTTAAACTAAACTGAGGAAAATTATTATTTACAATTTAATAATGGAGTGGCATATTGTGACATACAGATTAACAATGCACAATACATTGCATTGAAATTACATATTTGAAAGTTCTTCGAGCAGTCCTCTTGGTATATTTCCCAAGAAGTATCCAATCACTAACTGCTTCAGAGAAGTCTAATCTCACAAAAAATTATAAATACAGCAAGGCACCTTCCATTTCTGGACCATTGCATTAATCAAATTTTACTAGAACGCAGAGTGAATGGTGTCTGCCACTTGTGATTTATATTTTGGTGCAGAGCTTTTCTGAGGCCAAAGAAACCTGAGGCAAATCTGTTCAGACAGCCTGGGCTACTACTACGTTTCTTCATGTTTTATATTTTAATTTCTGTTGCTGGTATGAATGGAAAACAATGGGGGCGCTTTTTAATAACCACGGAAGTAGAATGAACATGGTAAACAGTCAAAAAGGCAGCAAAGGCAGGGAAGCAGCAGTTGTCTTCACATAAGACACAACATATCTTGATCAAAAATTGCCTCCCAGCTTCTGCTATATCCTCCGAGCAATGCAGGTGTGATGCAAGATCCTACCACACGGTGTCCCACTACCAGAGCATCATAAATTCAAGGAAGGATTTGTTATTGATGAGGGCGAAACCAAACAATAGAGCTTGTGCATTCCTTCTCTGGCCGCAGACTGCCATAATATAATAGCGTCTGGGTATGATGGAATTCATCTCACCTCGTTCTGTTTTCTGTCTGTGTAAGTGCAGATTGTGCCATCTATCCCATTCTGCTTTGAAACTCTACCCTTCCGTTTCACCACATTACTACCTGGCATGTTCCCACATAATCGGCTTTCCCATCTTTTCTTTAGTTTCGTTGCCGCATTTTGTATCACAGAATACTGTAAGTCTTTACTTTAAACCTCTGTTTTAGCATCTCAGGGTCAATGCTTAAATCACTCTTGCAAATGCCATTCAGTTTTCTTCTTCTTTTTAAAAAATCTGCCAGTTTCAGCCATCAAAATATAGAAAAGCGGAAGACCACAACTGCGTAAAATGTGGTATCATTGTCAACATGCATTTTCTGATGCCAGAAGAAGCATACAGGGACTGACTGATAAGTGATTAATTCTGTTCAATTCCAGACAGAAATATATAATATTATTGATTGTGATAGAATCCAGCTATACACATTGGCAAATAAATGGGAAGCACATGCAAGCTAGTTTTTTTAGGGCTCGGATTTTGCATTTTCTGCTCTTCATAAATCCTCCCTGAACAAAAGTCACTGCCTTTCCTCTTCCCTGGGTCCACTAGCTTGTTGCCTGGATCATGGCATGGGGTTCCTCCCTGGATTTGCTGGAGCTGACATAA